CAATTACTGTAAATTTCAAGAAAAAATCAATTACTGTAAATTTCAAGAAAAAATCAATTACTGTAAATTTCAAGAAAAAATCAATTACTGTAAATTTCAAGAAATAAAGAACAACTTCTATCCTGCTTTTTTAAATCTCAAGTTAGTAAAAATCTTTACTCAAGTTAATCTGAGATTAAGGTAGAGGGTATAGTGCTTATTTTTCGAGTTTTACGGTACGAAATACGTGTATGTAATATTTTTATCGGTCTATCGCTATTGTATTATTGGGTAAAATGAGTCAATAAAAGTAATACCATGTTTGAATTTAGAACTTAGAATCTACAGTTCGAGTTTGTGGATCAAACTAGGACATCAGTCAAACTCTACGTTATTCGTGTTGGAACCCGGAAAATTCAAAACTATAAACAATATTATCTGTTATGCTCAATAGCACCCTTACTGACGAAATAAAGCCAACAATTACAACATTTAAATATTCTTGGCTTGTACAACAAAATAAAGATTGGTGGATGAACTTTATTTCACATAGTCATACTCCTTTGAAATTTTATTAAGTATATGATTAGTACGATTAAGATACATGCAAGGAGATCTTACGTACTGTACAGTACATTAGTACTTGTTTCAATTATGTATTATAATTTATTAATTTCTGAAACTTTTATTGTTCCCGGAGTTCAAAAGAATTTAAGACAGTGTAACTTTAAGCATACGACTTCAAGTACAAATACAGTCAACATTGAACATTTTTCTTTATCTAATGAAAATTTTGAAAAACCTTCTTATAAAATTACTGCAAGTTCAATATTCGATATATTAAAACTTAGCGATTTACGGTATATAACGAACTCATACGTATATCTAACTTTTTATGACTAACTTTTGAATAAAAATCGGTAGTTCATTATTTGTTTCATGTAGTACTGTAGTACGAGTAAATAACATGTGATATATTGTAACGACAAACGTAAACTTCAAACTTAGATATATAGTAAAAAAAAACGGTTTATAATTTGAATTCCGTAGTCAATAACGTTTATCCGCTATTAATATAATTTAAAGTTATCTAAAAATAGTAACTGTGTTATGACATCCCAAGAAGCAACTTCCTTCAACCTTGAGCAGAATGACTGTATTTTACGTAATAAATCAATTTTTGAATTGTTTGTTTTCTACATTTGTCTACAGAAAGCCTTTATTATTGGTTCGTTAACTTTCTACAGTATATACTTAATAATAATATTATAGCCATTTCTAACAACCTTTATTGGTAAGTACGTATAAAATATTTGAATGAATACTATGAATAAAATATGTACGAATATTGTATGAATATTGTATGAATATTGTACTGATATTGTATAAATATTGTACTGATATTGTATAAATACAGTATGAAAATTTTTCTTATCTTATATTTACCAAAAAAGTGTTATTTTTTTTATAATTTCTACCGATACGTAGATGGACACACGTGTATTAATAATTATATGTTTTTTTGTTTTGACATTATTGTTATAATGTTATAATTAATATATTAGTTATATTAACATAGTGAAGACCGATACTGTGTAAGTTAAACGATAATGTGATTTACATCCAAATAAGTTAAATCTGTGTGCATTATTTTAATGATTTATAAACAACCGTTTTCCATAAAAGTAAAGAAATAAAAGTCATATGGGTTACCAATTAATGTTAATTATGTTTCGCATTACGTTGGTCAAAAAAACAATTCATGCAGGAAGTAAACAAACGCATATACACTAACATGATACTCGGATTATCTTATATTCCAAGTTGGTCTATTTAATAAATTTTGTGAGAGCCAATAAAATAATGTAAATAAGTAAAAGAATTGGTTGGAAAAGTTAAACATATAAAGTCTCAAAAATGTTGTGTAAAATTTTGTGTTTGTTGTGTTTTTTCTTTAAATTACATTATCGGACTTTTGGTGGACTACTGTCTTAGATCTCCCCCTCCACCCCTAGTAATTCCATTACATTCCGCTACCGAGTCCTCTCTCATTACATCCACATCACCATTAGAACGTTCTTTACCGTTCCTAAAAGGCCTTGGATCCCTCTCGGATATCCATTAAACCCGTACCATGCCTTATTAATAAATTACATCAATAACCCTACCTATACTATCCTCCTTCCTTTGCCATAGGAACGAACGTTAAACATAAATATCATCTCATCCTTTAGAAGATTATAATTATATACAATTATTTTCTTTAATAATATAATCAAAGATGAATACCTACTTTGTCCAAACCACCTTTAAATCTATAAGAATCTTTCATTTATTATTTACAATAATTTGTTTCATCTTAGGTATTACTTTGTCTTTTTTTTTTAATTATCTGAGCTAGTTTTGAAATATAATAGTGAAAGATAGTATTATAGTTCTTAACATTATAATGAATTAGCATGTTAGAATAATTTATTTATGAGAGCAGTAGCTAATTTATATATATATTTATTAATAGAACTTGTTGAAGCTTCTGCATTTTCCCAATTCGCCCCTGATCAAGGTATTCCGGTCTCCGCATACTTTTCAGGTCAAATGTACGTCTTTACTGTAGTAACTCTTGAACCATTATAAAAATAGAATTAACATGTCTATATACGACTATATTACGAATATATTTGATATATCTGAATGTTTATAAAAAAAATTTTTTTCTATTATCATTAAATCTAATTTATTTCATTTTTTTTCTTACGTTAAAACAGATATCAATACGGCGATGGTTCCCAATTCTATTTTAACGGTGTAAAGATTTATTCTTACATCGTTATGCTTCTTACTCTTTTAGATGGTGGTATGTCTTTTTTTTCAAAAAAATAATTATATACATTGTCAATGTAAAGCAATTTAAATTTAATGTTATAAAAATAACCAAAAAAATTTTTTTTTTTTCCTCATACTATCATAGGTGTATATGTAGTCCGTCATTTGTTCTATACCGGTCCACATAAACGTGATATCACAATCAATAGGTATTTGCTCGCCTATTTTTAAATTTGTTTTTAATGGTAAAATTTTTTTCTACCAATGACTTTTTTCACTAATTTATTGGTTTTCTTTTAATAAATAGTGTCTTTGCATGTTTATGGCTTTCTGCAGGTAAAAATTTGAATTCATTGATATACATACAGTATATGATATGATTATAGATTACAATACTCTTTAACTCAAATTTTTTTTATTGTCAATTGTACTTTATAGGCCTAGCAAACATCTATCCAACATTTAAAGGCTATAGCTATGCCTGTCCCGCCACATCTTCCCCTTACATCGCCCAAGAATGCATTACCAAATTATTATTCATTGTCTTTGGTTGGATAATTGGAGTATCATTCATCATAACATCATTGTTATCCTACAGATTGTGGTCTGAACGTCGAGAAATGTATGATGGAGAATGGAGAGTTGAAGCTCTAGGAGACGTGGTATTTAAATATAAACATAAACCGAAACCTAATATCACTGTGAAAATTAATGAACCAGAACAAGTTATGATTTATAAGAGTACTAAAAACAGCGAAAAAGTGACGGGAGTGCCAAGTCTTTTAATTCAAACTGCTACTCCTAGAGAATCTACTTCTGACTAAATTTATCAATTAAGTTTTACGATGCTTTTAGATTTGTTTAAATTAGGCATTTTATATATAAGTTAAATATCGTCTTAATTAATAAATTTTACATTTCCAATGTTATTCCTTGGCTTTTCTATTTGCATGTACAGGATTTTTTGAGTGCCTATTTTTTTTTCTTGTTGGAAATAATTGTCCTTAGTTATATATATATATACTGTTAATTAATTTCATTTATCAAAAGTTTGTAAAGAAAAAAAAAAGTCCTTTTAAAGAAAAGAAAAAAAAACCCGCTTTCTTATATCTTTGTATTTATATGTTATTATATGTGTATTTGTATTTAGTTACTTTTATATCATCAGGCTTTCTCTTTTTTTTTTCACACATCATATTTCGTATCAATTAATTAATACCACTCCTTCTCTCCTTTACATTTTTGTTTTAAAAAAAACCAAATCCCACGGTTTGCCCGTTTTATAATGAGATTTTGTAATTAAAAGACCATCTGCAAGATCAATATTTAATATAAAAAAGAGTCTTTTTTCGCATATAGCATTGAAAAAAAATTTTTTTGATGCATGTAATTTGTGTTATACGCATAAGCATACTTATCACAAACCAATAGCTATTACATACGTACATACGTGCGTACGTACTTACGTATTTGAACAAGTTTTCTTATTACCATTATACTAAACTTGGTTGCATGACCGAAATAAAATTATGCAACAATGTTATGTAATTTGCCAATAACTTTTATGCTTACATCGTATAGTACTCCTGCGCCAAAGTCCTATTAAAAAATTTTCATGGTAGAATGTATTTACCCGGGTAATATTATGTAAAAACATTTTCACGTGAAGAGTCTATTGTACTCGGGAAAAGTGTGATCCTTGCTGTGCGGTACTTGCGATCGTATCAAATAAGATAACTAAGTTTTGAAAAATAAGTATGCAGTATGTATGTACTTTTATATATATATATTGTAATAATTGAATTTTTTTATACAGTGGAGTGGGAGGTTTCAGAATTAGCTTTTTTTAAAAATAAATGGGATCATATTTTCTTTTTTAGAATTCCGAATCAGAAAATTAAATAAGCGTAGCCGGTAATAAAATTAGTTTTTTTACATTCACCGGTAAGTGATTGTATAAATAAGTACATAAATAAGTACGTACGTACATACTTTAAAACAAATAGAATTTATTTGTACGTCGCTTCTTTTGAAATAAATATGTCACTAACTTTATCTGAAATCGGACGTCGAATCATTAATTCTGAAACTCACCTAGAATTCTTTTTTCGATTTCTGGATTGAAGATCTTCGTAATTTTTTAGAGTTCCGTCAATTACTTTTAAAACACTCTATTTCGCTGACAACTGAACTAACATGGTTTGATATCCTGGAGCACCTTTAAAATGTTATATTATATTTATTGTAATTTCACCAATATTGAATTAAGTAGTTAAAATATATGGAAAAATTTTTTTGCTCGTTTATTACAGTGTACTCCCTACCTCGTAGAAGTTTATTTCACAGACACCTTGTTTCACAGACAATCAATTCGTAAACAAGTTTATTTTAAAGACAATTTTTCATAGACATTTCATTTTGTAGACAATCTTTAACACCGATTCAGAAGTTATTTACTATTAAAGATTGTCTATAAAATAAACTGTCGATGAAATGAACTGTCTATGAAATGAACTGTCTGTAAATCAACTGTCTGTCTTTAAAATAAACTTGTCTATGAACCGATTGTCTGTGAAACAAGGTGTCTATGAAATTGTTTAAGTAAAGACCAGTGAAATTTTAAAACTATCTGAACTTTATTGTTTCGGGATTTAAACTGGTTGGATCTTATTATTTCGAGATTTAAAGCTGCCAGAATTTTTTTAGTGGGAATTAAATCTTGCCATGATTTTGTATATCAGTATTTTGGATTAAAAAAAAAACCTGTCTAAAGAAAGAAATTATAGAGATCAGTATAGCATAGTCAATTTTTCAAAATTATACTATACGGATCAGCAAAATTATAGAAATTAACGCTCATATATTTAACGGTAATACCTGATCGGGTCCGTATTATTTCACCGACACCACATTTCACCGACAATCACTTCACACATTTCACCGACAATTAATTCACCGACAAGTTCATTTTACCGACAAGTTTTTTTTTATAAATTACACTAACTTTAGCTTTAATTCTAATGATATTGACCAGAATTACTTTGTCTGTAAAATGAGCTTCGGTGAAAGAACTGTCGGTAAAATGAACTTGTCGGTAACTAATTGTCGGTGAGTTGATCTCTACCTGATCCGTATAGTATGGATTTGAATATAATCGGCCTATACTATACTGAGACCTGCGAAACTACTCTAAAGGAATGTATGAACATTATATTTAACAGTAGTATCGGATCGGACAGATATTTTCAAGGATCTGGATTCAATCCGAAAATTCGGATCGGGTTCAAGTATTTATATGTGGATCCGAATTCGGCTGTTTTCATAATTTCTGGGACACCTGATAATAGCCGAGTGATTTTTCGGTCGAACCGGCTATGTTATTATTTTGGCATAAATTCAATAAAATTGATATAATATTCGCAATTTAAGAAATATACAGTAAGATTATGCATATCTCTTGTTGAATTTAAAAAAAATATGATATTTTCAAATCACATTCGCTGGCAAATTATTGAAAAAAATTAAAAGGCCTATCAATTCAAAAATTGCAAACACTTAGGTGTTAGCAGGCTTCTATAAATCGGGTTTTAAAAGATATTGTTGTATTAAAAAATTTCGATCGCTGTCAAGAAAACCAAGTTCTATAAACATGAACGATATAAAATATTTTAAAAGAATTCTATAGGCTTCAAAACTCGCAAAAGAAAGAAATAAAGTCGATAAAACCAATTTCATTTTAAGAACGTCTCAATATATACCAAGTCATTTTTTTCAAATGAAACTGCTTATGACAGAAGAACATTATTACAACGCTATGGCTGGAATTTTTCAGGATTACGTGCTCAAAAATATACATTTTTTGTTCGAGAAAGACGATTCACCATAGAAGGTGCATTGGAGATCTGGATTTAGAACCACAGATCATGCCTTGAGACCATAGATCTTGATCCAGGACCACCGATATTTGGTTGAGACCGTAGATCTTGGTCCAGGAACACTGATCTCGGGTTGAGACCGCATATCTTGGGTTCAAATCATGGCAGATTAAAAATGTATAAATTGATGCTCAAACGAATAAAGGAAAGAGGAGTTTCGTTCGATGCATAATAAATAATATTTTGATATTACCCTACCAACTAAATACCTTCCTTAATATCCCATTATCATTAATTCCGAATCCTTTATAAACATTCATCTCGCATAACCTATGCTTATAACCCTGAGCTAATTTGACCTCACGTTAGCCAAGTCTCTCCCACGGTTACAACAATGTTTAACATCAATTAAATATGGGAGATAATTTTTGAAGTTTGTGTTGCAGGAATGCATGTGGCAATTAGAAGAGTCCCATCGATAGTG